TCCGAGGTTTGTTGGGACCGATCGCATCCGTCTGCAGCGCGGTCGAGTAGCCCACCGTGCCCGCAACGTGGATCAGAGGGTAGGTCAGGGGGTCTACGTGTTCGGACAAGAAAGACAGTTCTTGAGTTGCAGACGACCCGTCGGGGCGTCGAGCATATACAGAGACGTAATGAGGCGGCAGAGGTCCCTCCCCGACGACGGCACAAGCAACTTCTGCGGCCGACGGTGCGCCGTACCGGCGAGGGCCCTTTTCTACGCCTCCTGCGAAGCGGAGGACAGGCTCGCGAGCAGAGCAGCCATGACTCTCACGGGAGGCTTGGATGACGTCGTGCATATTCCGGAAATGTGAAGGGTAGGGGTTGGCAGCAGTGTGGGTGAGCATGGTAAGCAGGAGTTCCAGGAGGGGCGGCTGCAAGTCGGGGAACGTCTCTGCTCTGGAAGCAGTCGCCTCCGCGGGATCATATGTACAGTTGGGCGTATTTGGGACGTCTACCGACTGCGGGGCACAGGGCCCCGATGGCTCGAAATGCGCGGCCGTGCAGTACGAACACGGGGGGGCCTCTGCCAGTCGTCAGGCCCAGAGTTGTCTTTCGTGCTGCTACGGAGGTTTGGCTGTTGAACGAAGCGAAGCCTAGCGCGCAGTTGTAGGAACGGATGCGTTGCATGAAATGGTCATGGGAAGGGCCCGGTCGCAGCAGGATCGCGTACTGAGGGGGTGCGGGGGGCAGCGCTGGGATGGCTGCCAGTGCGCCATATTTGCAGCAAGCTCCGAACTCTTTTCGGCGCGAATCTGGTGATCGAGCGCGCTCTGTCAAGAAATGGAGCGCGCCGCAGTTGCCGCATGTGCCTTCAAACTGGCCCGTGGGAGAGAGCATCGCTGTAGGCACACGATTCGGAGCCCAATCGTCTATGGACCACCACCCTGCGCGAAGGCCGGCGCGCGCGCCGACAGACGTGCCAGGCACAGGGTCAACGAACCAATTTCGATGAGCAGGGCAGGTTGGTCGTTCGGTGGACTGTGGCCGCGATGCTACTGGAGAGGACTTCTGACGACACCATGGCGCGATGCACTGGGGGGCGTCACGCTTTCGGAGATACGCACGGACGGCGGCGGCAACTATCTTGCGGACTGCGAGCAAGGGGGTTGCAGAAGGACGGGCACCCCTGCAGGGGCGCGGGGCCGCGGCGAGAAGGCGGGGAGGACGCGGTGCTGCAATGAAGGCGGCATGCTGCTGATGATGGCTGCAGAACCCAATGAGGTACATGGCTTTGGTCAATTTCTGGTCGCATCGGGGGAACGAACACTTGGGCTTCGAGCAACGTTCGCACATGCCGTCGTTGTGAGGCACTGCTCGCCGGACGCCATGCCCGCGTCGCTGCGGCGTTCGGCAACAGAACTGCTGAGGACCTAGACAAGGGGGGCCAGAGAGCGAACATTGCCTGCACGTCAGACCGGCGGTGCGCAGTCCAATGCGGTGAGTGCATCCAGTAGATTTGTTTCGGCAGGGTTTCCCTTTGCGCATGCAAGCAGCGCAAAGGCCTTGAGCTGATTTCCGCAACGCTACGCCAGTGCACCCAGGGGAGCGACACGCGCGACCAGCTTGATCACAAGACCGTTTGGCGCTCGCCTGCGCAGGCTCTGCCCCACAGGCTCGGCAGAATCCGGCAGAACCGGGCGTGGAGCGGCCAGCGCAACCCGGCGTGGCGCATGGGAAGCACGATGTGAGGCAGAGGCAGCATAGCGAATCGGTTGGCGAATCGACGATGTTGCTACAAGAGGCCGTTTGGCAAAAGTGCAGCGTGGGTGGCGGATGGCACGCGAGACAACGCAGGCCGCGGGTCCTGGGAACGCGGAAAGCACGCCCGTCAGTGGCGCACGGGAAGACGCCGGCGACGCACATGGGGCACACGTAGCTTTCGGCAGGGGATGTTCCGGCAGGCGCGGTCGCAGGGCAGCGCGGGGTTGAGCAGACTACGAAGGTGTGCGTCGAAAGCGCGGCTGGGGGCGTCATTGCCAAGTCCACGGTCGCGCTCTGCGGGCTGGCGCCGCCACAGAGAAGGCGCACGTCTGGCGTTGGCGGCGCGCCCCTGCGTCTGAAGCACACGGTGCACGGGCGGCATCCACCAGAGCAAACTTCGCAGAGGTCTGGCTGGCGGACGGATTTATCATGAGAACACCCTGGAGGTGAACACGCGAACGCGCGAGCGGGATAGTAAGGGCAGCTGTTATTGTGGCGGTGCGTGGTGCATTGTGGAAGAGGTCCAGAAGTTGCCTGTTCGCGCTTGCGCACGTGCGCCGGACACCCGACGACTGCAAATCGGCAGGGGAGCGCTTGCTCCGAGCATGGTAAACACAAGCCTGAGTTTTTTTTTTCGTGGACAGGAGGCGACACCCGAGGCGGGCATTTCTACACATGGCCCACTCGCGGGATGCGTTGTTGGACGGGCCAGCGCAATGTGCAGCGCAGAACCTCGGGGTAACCAGCGCTTTCGACATGCGGAATGGCGGCGCCGCCGGAGCCTGGCAGTCAGGGTGGGCACATCGGGAGGCAGACGAAGCGCATCGTTGGCAGTGTGGTAAGCGTCTACGTTGGTTATCGCCGCGTAGGCGCTGCTGCATCGCAGTGCAGATGGGAAAGTTGTCGCACATGCGAGTCGGTCTTTCGGGCGCAGGCGGCGGCATGGTATGCGACGTCGGCGTGCACGGCCGCAGGGTTCGACCTGGGATATGGATGGCGATCTGCAGAACGTGGGAGAACAGCAGGATCACGGGAAAGCTTTGATGATATGGGAACATCTCTAGTTCTTGAGCCGTCGCGGCAGCAGCACGGGACAGGGGGTGATCCTGGGGGAGGGAGTCCGGAGCGGCCTTGAATTGGCAGGGGCAAAAGCCTCGAATCCAACTCCCCGGCGAGGAGTTGGCTTTCGGAGTTGTCCTTGAACCGCCTTGGAGGCAAAGACGGGCCGTGAGCCAGCCTGGGAACCTCAAAGTCTGCCAAGACGGGCCCAGGAACGGCACCAGATACCACCAAGATGACACAACGAACGGTCTCTGAGAGCCTCGAATCCAACTCCCCGCCGAGGAGTTGGCTTTCGGAGTTGTCATTGAACCGCCTTGGAGGCAAAGACGGGCCGCGAGCCAGCCTGGGAACCTCGAAGTCTGCCAAGACGGGCCCAGGAACGGCACCAGATACCACCAAAATGACACAACGAACGGTCTCTGAGAGCCTCGAATCCAACTCCCCGGCGAGGAGTTGGCTTTCGGAGTTGTCCTTGAACCGCCTGGGAGGCACAGACGGGCCGTGAGCCTGCCTGGGAACCCCAAAGTCTGCCACGACGGGCCCAGGAACGGCACCAGATACCACCAAAATGACACAACGAACGGTCTCTGAGAGCCTCGAATCCAACTCCCCGCCGAGGAGTTGGCTTTCGGAGTTGTCCTTGAACCGCCTTGGAGGCAAAGACGGGCCGTGAGCCAGCCTGGGAACCTCAAAGTCTGCCAAGACGGGCCCAGGAACGGCACCAGATACCACCAAGATGACACAACGAACGGTCTCTGAGAGCCTCGAATCCAACTCCCGGCGAGGAGTTGGCTTTCGGAGTTGTCCTTGAACCGCCTTGGAGGCAAAGACGGGCCGTGAGCCAGCCTGGGAACCTCAAAGTCTGCCAAGACGGGCCCAGGAACGGCACCAGATACCACGACTACGACTACGACTACGACTACGACTACGACTACGACTACGACTACTACTACTACTACTACTACGACTCTACTACTACTACTACTACTACTACTACTACTACTACTACTACTACTACTACTACTACTACTACTACTACTACTACTACTACGACTACTACTACTACTCCTACTACTACTCCTCCTACTACTACTACTACTACTACTACTACTACTACTACTACTACTACTACTACTACTACTACTACTACTACTTACTACTACTCTATTCTACTACTACTACTACTACTACTACTACTACACTACTACTACTACTACTACTACTACTACTACTACTACTACTATACTACTACGACTACTACCTAGACGAATAACTACTACCATTACGACTACTACTACTACTACTACTACTACTACTACTACTACTACTACTACTACTACTACTACTACTACTACTACTACTACTACTACTACTACTACTACTACTACTACTACTACTACTACTACTACTACTACTACTACTACTACTACTACTACTACTACTACTACTACTACTACTACTACTACTACTACTACTACTACTACTACTACTACTACTACTACTACTACTACTACTACTACTACTACTACTACTACTACTACTACTACTACTACTACTACTACTGCTACTACTAACAATAATAATGATAATAATACTAATAATGGTTTTAATAATAATAATAATAATAATCACAAGAATAGGATGATCCCTTTTGCATCTGTTAGAATCGATGAAATTCGGTGCGGTGTTGCTTACGCTTCGGTGCCGTCTTGCTCATCTTAACAGAGTGCTCGTGCGCAAGCCAAAAATGAGACCAATTCCAACTCTAGCACGTATGTTGGCTTCCAGAACCTCTGCGTTGACATAAGAGGTGTCACTCGGTCTTCACATTCGTCTTGGGTTTCTCTACAATTAAAATTCTATTGTGAGGCTATCCCAAGCAGGTTGGGGTTGGGCCCAGTTTGCTTTTCGCACTGGTTGGGATTGGTCCCAGTTGGTTGGGATTGGGCCCAGTTGGTTGGGATTCGGCCCACATGCGGTCCGGACCCCCCCCCCCCTTCAAGGGAGGGGTGGGGGGATTCGGACCCCCCCCTCCCCGTAAGGGGGGGAGGGGGGGGGTCGAAAATCTCACCCCCCCTTTGAAACGGTGAAACGGGAGAGGGGGGGGAGGGGGTTCTGCGAGCACGCTCCTCTTTCAGTGTATTCCGGGCCATCCACTGGCGCGCTTCTGAAAACGTGCCCACCCTCAGCCGAGCGCCATCAGATGGCCAGGCAGCTCGACGCGAAGCTGCTGTGGGGGGACACGGACCGGGAGCGCGCGCCCGCGCCCGTGCGGCGCGGCGCGGCCCAGGGCGGGGGCTGCGCCTCCTCGGCCCACGTCCAGGAGGAGGACCGCGAGGTGGACGCGGAGGGCTCGGCGCGCGGCGCCCCCGGGGCCGCGGCGGCCGCGTCGGCGTCGGCCAGCTCGGCGAGCAGCCGCTGCGCGAGCTGCACCCGCACCCCCCGGGCGTGCTCGGAGGCCCTGCTCGCCTCGCTGCTGCGGCCGCGGCCCTGGCCGTGGTCCGCGCCGTGGGCCGTGCCCGCCCTGGCTCGGGCCTCGCTGCTGTGGCTGCGGCCGCGCTCGCTCGGGTCGTGGTCCGTGCCGCTGCCGGGGGGCAGCACCATGCACGCCAGGACCTGGTCGTCGCCGGCGTCGGACTGCTCCCGCGTGAGCATGACCGACACGTGATAGTCTGCCTGGCCGCTGCAAGCCAGCTGCAGCGTGAGCGGCCAGAGCTCGAAGTAGTGGGTGGGCTCAGCGCTGTTGGCGAAGAGATTAATGTTGTCGCACAAGACCTCGACCATGGGGCCCCCCTGGTGCAGCCAGTCGCAGACCAGCGCGCCGGCCCGGCACGGCCCGAAGCACCTAACGAAAGCCGCGGAGCACTTCAAGACCTTGAACGTGAGCGCGTCGAACACGACGGCCATCCCCGGCAAGCCCTCGTGACCAATAATGTCGGACTGAGCAATGCAGTCCGGCTCTGGGACAGGAGATCGACCCAACAAGACGGAGTCGCTGTTCTCCCTGAAGCCCAGGAGATGCTGGGGCAGCTGCGTGAGAGCGTCCATGAAGCAGACATGGAAGAGCTCCATCTCCGTTGCGCCCCCGAACCGGTTGCGCATGTTCGCGTGGAAAACGTCGCCGATCGTGTCGTTCTCGTGCGCGGGATCCTGCATGCGTGCGTTGAAGCGGCGTACGTCGTCCTCCGAGCACATGAACTTGTCCAGCGTCGAGCCGACGAGGGAGTTGTGGCTGAGACTGCGAGGCAGCATCGCGGCGAGTCTCGGCGAGTGCTCCGTCAGCTGCAGGTTCGCGTCCAGCTCCACCACGGCGTCGCACACGGTGAGCAGCATCGACCTGGACGCCTCCAGCCCGTTGCGCGAGGCCTGCGCCTCCACCAGCTGCCGCGCCCACTCGCTCGTGACGCGGTGCATCGAGTAGGCCAGGAGCACCACGAAGCAGGACTGGAACAGCTCCGCGATGATGATCATCTGGGACTGCTGGCGGTACGCCAGCGAGTGGCCGACGTCCACGGACGGGATCCACGGGTGCAGGTGGAGGCTCAGGGCGCCCCAGTAGGCGGCGTTCCAGAACACGAGGCCGGGCAGCTTCAGCATGAACAGGCTGACGCAGAGCCTGACGACGCCCAGGGTGGCGGACACGACGATGAGCTTGTCGCTCGACGTGACCAGTGGCGATGCGCCCACCGTGGCCATCAGCATGGCCCAGGCGCCCCAGAGCTCTACCGACGATGGCGTGATCCATGAAGGCCGAAACAGCACCACCAAGATGCTCGAATACATGGTGAAAAACAGTACGTCAGCCCCGACGGAGTGCACTCGCTCGCGATTCGTGAGGACATTCCACAGCGTCAGAGCCGAAGACAAGAAACAACTTATCGAACACGGATGGACCAGGCTGCGGGCATAGCTGGCCCGGCGGGCCATGATAAGGCTCGACACCTTCTGTGCGACCATATCCTTGAAGGGGCCCAGGGACACGCAAATCAATGGACATAAATCCAAATATTCCCGATATGTCCCGTATTTCCTGGATGTTCGTCTTTTCCCCCACTTCCCAGATCTTCCATACTTTCCATGGAAACGACGATGATGTGTGCCTGTGTTTTTGTCCCCTCCCGAATCCTCCCGCACCTGCGCCCGCTTCGTCGACGAGAGCCCCAGACGGATGGTGTACCTCAGCCACTGCAGGACCGCCCGGAACCTCTCGAGCGACAGCGCGCCCGTGTGGACGAGCAGCGCCGCGTGGGACATCAGAGACGGCAGAAGAACCAAAGCGGCATGACCACAAACTTCAAGTCGGGCCTGTCTTCCTACAGGGGGATTTTGGACGAAAGATAAAAAATGGTCACCAACTACCCCCGAGATGCTCAAAAATGGTCCAAACATCGTCCCGAGACTGTTTTTTGACTATTCTTGAATGTTCCTCCTGTGGAGGGACAGGCCCGACTTAAACAGAAACGGCACGACCACAAAAACTTTCTGGGAGGCCTGGAAATGGGCACCAACACCAAGACACGGGGCTGCCTCCACATGGTGGAGACGATCCTTGAGTTCGTTGTTGGTGGTAATAGTTCGGTCACCTTGGAAGCCAGAATATTACCACCATCACCGATATCGAGATTTGCTTCCCTCGGTGGAGGAACGCCGCCGATCTTGGTGCTGGTGTCAACCTCTAGGCCTGCGACTTTCGGCTGCCCTCGCGGCCTGGCTCCGCCCATCGGGCATCGAGGGCCTCGGGGGTCGAGGGGGACGAGGCTCGAGCTCCGGAGCTCCACCCCTCGCGGGCCTCGAGGGCCGGGGGGGGGCCCGGGGGGTCGACGACCGAGGCTCCAGGATCCGCCGATGGAGGATCGAGGGTCGGGGATCGAGGGGAGCCGCCCTGGGTCGGCGCTGGAGAGCCCCCTCCCCCGCCGCGCGGAGCGCACCCCCGGGGCGGCACCGAGGGCGCCACCAGGGGGTCCCGGCGCCAGTCCACGAGATCCACGCGGGCGGCCGAAAGTGCATATCGCCATCGCTCGGACGCCAACTCCCCGTGCACCTTTCGGTCTCGTGCATGCGTCTACTGCCCGATGAGCCAGGATGCTCCTCGATGGCCCGCGCCGACAGAAAATGCACACGTCCGAGCGATGCCGAGTCATTCGGAGAAGGACAGCCACGCAAGTCAACCACGCTCCCCGCTCCCGCCCCCGCCTAAGAAGGGAGGACAACAGGACAGAGCACGAAGGGGGGAGGCAGGAGGAGCGAGGTGTACCTGCGTTGCTGATCAACTCCTGTGTGCTGGACCCGAGAACAAAAGACACCGCGCCACCTACCGCCCCACGGGCCCTGGCATGCACCATGGGTTCCCCGGCGTGGGCCTCCGCGCGGCACGCGCCACGCGGCTCCCGAGGGGCCGCGGCGCAGGCGCAGGGGGCCGCTGGCGGCGTGGTGCCGCCCGTCTTCCGGTCGAACGTCCGTGTGCTCATGTCGCTTACGGCCCTTCGGGATAGGACCAGGCCGCAGCACACGAGGGCATCGCGGGCGGAGGGCATGCCGCGGGTCGGGCCTTTGGCGCGGCCGGGGCACGGTCGGGGCTGCGGCCCGAGGGCCTCGGCGCCCACGCCGCAGGCGGGCTCCGCCGGGGGGGGGGCTCGGGCCAGGAGGGGGAGGCCCGCGGCAGAGGGGGGGCCACGGGGGCGGGCGGGGCGGGAGCGGCGGCGGCACGGGGGCCTCTCCGCGGCGGGGAGAGGGCGAGGGGGGGAGGGGGGAGGAGGAGCGGGAGCAGCGAGGGGGGCACGAGCGCGAGAGGGAGGAGGGGGAGGAGGAGGGGGAGGAGAGAGGGTGGGGAGACCGAGGCGAGGCAGAGGGAGGAATAGCAGGAGGAGCTGGAGGAGGAGAAAAAGCACGAGGGCGCGGAGGACGAGGAAGACGAGGGCACGGAGAAGAAGCATAACGGAACGGATAACAAGGAAGATGCAGCAGAGTCCAGGGAGTGGAGGCATTGCAAGCGGCACCACAGAAGAAGGGAGGAGTGAGACGAGATGATTAGGAGTAGAAGGAAAAAGGGAGGGTTGGGGGAGGGTGAAGTAGCAGGAGGAAGAGGAAGAGGAGGAGGAGAATGAGGAGGAGGAGGAGAGGGATAAGAAAGAGCAGGAGGTAGCGGCTGGACGAGGAATAGGCTCAAAAAGAGAAGCAACTGCGGAAACAACATCTGCCACCATGCCTCTGAGGACGTGCTAGAATGTTCGTCAATCGCTGGTGGATTTCAACGCGCGCCGACACATTGCCTGGAGACAGAACGGACCTGAGGGCCTCCTGGAAGCCTCTTGGGAGCCTCAAGGAGCTGTTTTGGGGCCACCTTGAAAGCTCCAGGGCGGCCCGGAGGCCATCCGGGGCCGTCTTGGCAGGCTCAAGGGCCGTCTCGAAGCCATCCATCATCGGCCGTCTCGGAGCCGTCTGGAAGGGTCTTGGCAGGGCTGAACCTAAACGGTGTCGTTCGTGTTCGTTTTGTCTTCGCTGCCCCTCATCTTGTCTTCGATCCGCCTCTGCCGCAAAAGGAAACATCGAAACGAAAACGGCCCACGAAATCGCCAAAACACCGATTAGGTCCAGTCCTGGGTCTTGGGGACCCCAGTCGGCCCTCTTGGGTCTCTCTGGGGCTCCTCGAGCGCCACGTGCGGGCCATCCCGAGGCCTTCGAGGGCCGCCGGGGTGCCATCTTCGGCCGCCTCGGAGCCGGCCTGGAAAGGATCTCGGGGGCACCAGTCACAGGCGTAGAGGCGACACCTCGAAGCACCAGTCAGTTCCCCCAGGCTGTCCAAAAATTTTGGGCTCCTGGGGGCTTCTTGGAAGTCTCGTGGGAACCTCTTGGGGGCCTCTCGGGACCCTCCTGGGGGCCCCCTGGGGCCCTCCTGAGCTGCCTGGGGCGCTCTGCAGGCCTCGGACCGTCTTGGCGCCCTCCAGGGCCGTCTAAGGGCATTGTGGGGTACAGTGGAGGCCAGTCCACAAGAAACCTTCCACAAAAAACCCAACCCTGAGACCCCAGGATGTCCATTGATTTCTGGTGTGGGAACGTCGCGCTTTCCGCAGCAAAGCGATCGAAACCCAAGAAACCCAGGGCACCCTGGAGGCGAGCAGGGTGTTTCTTGGCATGGGTTTCCGCTGTAGTTGTGGGCCCATCTTGAAGACCCGCAGAACCCCGGTCATGCCACGGGTGTTCCTGGCGCCTGCGCCGCTCTGCATGCATGTGTACGCATGGTATCCAGGACGCTATCATTTCATCGATATATTATATGTATGTAGATCTCGGTCGCACGATCTATCGGTCGATACCACTACCCAATAGATCGATCGCACTAAATGTATATATGTGTGTGTATATCAATCTCGCTATTCATGTATGTGTCGATACGTCTCTCTATCAGCCCCCTCTGTCGATCTACCGATATCAGGATGAGTTAATATATCTATATATATATATGATATGATATCGGTGCAACCACCAGGACAACCTCTATTGGTGTAGATATCGGCCACATGGCGATCGATATCGCTATTTATATACATGCATATACATACACACAAATATCATCTATACGTACATGCATATAGACATGCATGCGTGCATTGATACGCACGTACATACAAGCATACAGACAAACAGACATACATACATCCATCCATAGATACATTATCCGTCGGACCCCTCCAGGGCCGCAAGGCTGCGAAGGTGTGTGCAGTCTGCTGTCATGTGTTTTGTGTTGTCATGTGTTGTTTGGCCTTTTTGTATCTCCAGTCATGTTTCCTGCCTCCTGTTTACTGTCTGCTAGGGGGCCCCGCCGCGCCACCAAACAGCCAACGGGGGGAGGTGAACCTCAAATCCTGGCTGCTCCGGGCCACACCAGGGTGTGACGCCACCGCGCGGCCAGAACGGCCAGAGAGGCCTCCAAGATTGCCCGAAGAGAGCCTCAGGAAGGAGGCCAAGACGGCCGAAGATGGCCCCAAGATGTCCCACGATGGCCCACGGTGGTCCCAAGACGGCCCAAGATGCTCCCAAGACGGCCCAAGAGGCCTCCAAAAAGCCTCCCGATAAGGCCCCTCGAAGCAAACATCAACGATTTTCAAGACGTGTTTGAAGGTCTTTGGCCTTCTCGCCTTTTCTGCTTTCTGACGCTCCGAGCCAGACCAACAGGTTCCCAAGATCGCCCCACGACGGCCCTAGAAGCCCCCATGACGGCCCTAGAGGCCCCCAAAACGACCTCAAGATGGCCTAAGAGGGCACCAGGACGGTCCAAAAGGCGCCCCAGACGGCCCAAAAGGGTCCTAAGACGGTCCCAAAAGAGGCCCAAGAGGGAGTCCACGAACTGAAAACTCTGACCTTTCCGCCCGGAGAGGGCCCCAGGAGGCCCCAAGAAGCTCCCAAGAGCTTCCAAGAGGCCCCAAGAGGCCCCCAGAAGGCCCCCACGAGGCCCCAAGGAGACCCCAAGATATCGTTTCCGAGAGGCCCCAAGGAGACCCCCAAGAGGCCCCAAGGAGACCCCCGCGCAGCCGCCCGCACTACTACTTACGCAGGACGAAAGATTTTCCTCTTGAGGTGGAAATGGCCATGAAGAAATCGCGAGACAACGTCGGTGCCGCCGAACGGACGGCGACCGGACGAGCTGTTTGCAGCAACCGGGGGGGGAAGGATGTATGAGTGCGCAAGACGACGCAGGGCCCATCGTGAAAAATCGATTGCCGAACCACCCTCCCCCATAGAATCTTAACACGGGCGGTTTGCGGATCCGACTTCTTCCGGTCCCCTGTTTTAATTTAATGATTTTAAAAGCAAAGTAGAAATCGGAATCGCTGTGAAAATTAAGGTGGGACGCGGATCCGGGAAAATCCGAAATCGGAACCGCGCAGACAGAAAATCGGATCCGCCTAAACACAGACCAAAACCAAAATTGGATCCGCGCGAACTGACTTGGATGACGGCGGGTATCTCATACGCGTCTGCTCAAGACTTCAAACCTTCGCTCCAGGCCCAAAAGCAAAAAATGTCGCCCTGGGGATGGGCGTTTTGGCCTTCGGACATGTTGGTTGCCACGCTGCCCACACACCACACCTCGCCAAAATTCCCCCGCAGCGCGCAGTCAGGACTTCCCGCCCGAGACGTCCTCGCAACACCCCGTTAGGCCAGGAGACGCAGGGCCGAAACGCATGGGCGTTTTGGCCTTCAGACATGTTGGTTGCCACGTTGCCCACACACCACACCTCGCCACAATTCCCCCGCAACGTGCACTCAGGAGTTGCCGCTCGAGACGTCCTCGCAACACCCCGCTGGGTCAGGAGACGCAGGGCCGAAACGCATGGCCGTGTTGGCCTTCGGACATGTTGGTTGCCACGTTGCCCACACACCACACCTCGCCACAATTCCCCCGCAACGTGCACTCAGGAGTTCCCGCTCGAGACATCCTCGCAACACCCCGCTGGGTCAGGAGGCGCAGGGCCGAAACACATGGGCGTTTTGGCCTTCGGACATGTTGGTTGCCACGTTGCCCACACACCACACCTCGCCACAATTCCCCCGCAACGTGCACTCAGGAGTTGCCGCTCGAGACGTCCTCGCAACACCCCGCTGGGTCAGGAGACGCAGGGCCGAAACGCATGGGCGTTTTGGCCTTCGGACATGTTGGTTGCCAGTCACAGGCGTAAAGGCGACACCTCGAAACACCAGTCAGTTCCCCCAGGCTGTCCAAAAAATTTGGGTTCCTGGGGGCTTCTTGGAACTCTCGTGGGAACCTCTTGGGGGCCTCTCGGGACCCTCCTGGGGGCCCCCTGGGGCCCTCCTGAGCTGCCTGGGGCGCTCTGCAGGCCTCGGACCGTCTTGGCGCCCTCCAGGGCCGTCTAAGGGCATTGTGGGGTACAGTGGAGGCCAGTCCACAAGAAACCTTCCACAAAAAACCCAACCCTGAGACCCCAGGATGTCCATTGATTTTTGGCGTGGGAACGTCGCGCCTTCCGCAGCAAAGCGATCGAAACCCAAGAAACCCAGGGCACCCTGGAGGCGAGCAGGGTGTTTCTTGGCATGGGTTTCCGCTGTAGTTGTGGGCCCATCTTGAAAGCCCGCAGAACCCCGGTCATGCCACGGGTGTTCCTGGCGCCTGCGCCGCTCTGCATGCATGTGTACGCATGGTATCCAGGACGCTATCACTTCATCGATATATTATATGTATGTAGGTCTCGGTCGCACGATCTATCGGCCGATACCACTACCCAATAGATCGATCGCACTAAGTGTGTATATATATATGTGTATATATATATATATATACCAATCTCGTTATCCATGTATGTGTCGATACGTCTCTCTATCAGCCCCTTCTGTCGATCGACCGATATCATGATGAGTTAATATATATATATATATATATATATATATATATATTATCGGTGCAACCACCAGGACAACCTCCATTGGTGTAAATATCGGCCACATGGCGATCGATATCGCTATTTGTATACATGCATATGCATACACACAAATATCATATATATATACGTACACGCATACAGACATGCATGCGTGCATTGATATGCACGTACATACAAGCATACAGACAAACAGACATACATACATCCATCCATAGATACATTATCCGCCGGACCCCTCCAGGGCCGCAAGGCTGCGAAGGTGTGTGCAGTCTGCTGTCATGTGTTTTGTGTTGTCATTTGTTGTTTGGCCTTTTTGTATCTCCAGTCATGTTTCCTGCCTCCTGTTTACTGTCTGCTAGGGGGCCCCGCCGCGCCACCAAACAGCCAACGGGGGGAGGTGAACCTCAAATCCTGGCTGCTCCGGGCCACCCCAGGGTGTGACGCCACCGCGCGGCCACAACGGCCAGAGAGGTTTCCAAGAGCCTCGAATGCAACTCCCCGGCGAGGAATTGGATTGTCTCCTGCTTCTCCGCGTCGTCGCTGTCTCATGGGCCCTCTAAGGCAACCCTGGGACAGTTCCGCGCAGTCTTGGGCCGGCTGGTCTCTCAGTTTGACAGCGTCGGACCTGCTCGGGCCCTCGTTGGAAGCAGCTCGGCGACTCTTGGGGGCCTCTCGGGCACCACGGGAGCGCATTTTTTAATTCTCGGGGTAGCCTCTCGGGCCTCCGTTGTGGCGTCTCGGGGCCCTCCAAAAAGGAGTCCGTCATAATGTCGATTCAGGGCCGCCTCCAGAGCCAACTTCTGGAGGATGTCCCCAACGACACGGCCATTTTTTGGAAAACCGCTAGGGAGTCAAAACATCATGGGCGCTCGAACGGCGTGCTTGGCGATCTCCTTCTCGCGCTCGGCCACGGCTGCGAAGGCAGCATAGAACCAAGACCGGTTGCGCAGGTGCGCTTTTCGCAATTCGCAGAGGCGAAAGAAAAAACGCAACATCCGGAACAACAGCGCATCTGGCATGCCATCGCCAGCACCACATGCCATAACAGCCTCGCCCCATGGCGAGAAGAATAACAACAAGGCGTACACCGCCGCAACATCACCATCGGCAATGCGCGGTCGCGCGGCTCCAGCCATGCCCAAGAACTCATTTTGATCCCGCGCGAAAACAAACTCGCCGTCAAACAATAACAAATTTAAAATGCAACCAGACCCATACCCAGTAGTCCAAGTGTGTTCCAGTCCGTACAACAATTCATCTTTTCTCTCATCCTGTAGCTGTAAGAAAGAAGCCAAATCCGCCAGCGCGCCTGGAGCACGTAGTGGAGCCCCCCCAAGCTCACCCAAGAAGTTCCACGAGGCACCAAAGAGGGCCTGGTGAGACCCCACGGTGGCCCCGATGAGGCGCCATGGCCCGCCCCAAGAAACTTCAAGAATCTCCGAGCCGAGACAGTCGAGAGAGGGCAACCAGGAGACCCCCACCGACGCCCATTCGAGCTGATGCACCACCCAGGCAAGGTGGCGGAATAGGCCGATGGCATATAGATCCGCCGCCCCCTGTTGATTCATCACAGGGGTGCCTGGCGTGCCGAATCCTCTCGGTTTTGGTTTAGGTTCTTTGTCGTCAAGAACTCCCCCTGGGCCTCCGGCGCGTCCCGGGCGCCACCCGAAAAAGCCCTCTGTCAATGCTTCTGTTGCCCCAAGATGGTCCAAGATGGCCTCCAAGCAACCCAGATGGCCCAGGATGGTCTCCAAGATGCCCCCAAGACGGCCAAGGTGGCCTCGAAGACGGCTAAGATGGCTCCAAAGTGCATTGAAGACGGCCCAAGACGGCCTCAAGATGGCCCCAAATGGCCCAAGAGGCCTTCAAGAGAGCCCAAGCGGCCTCCAAGAGGGTCCCAAAGAGGCCAAAATCATTGATTTTCCTTAGGTTTCTGAAGGATGTTGGCATTTGCTTCTTCTCGGCATTCCGACGGCTGAAGGCGGCCCAAGAGGTTCCCAAGATCGCCCCAAGATCGCCCACAAGGCCTCCAACATGGCCCCATGACAGCTCAAGAGGCCCTCAAGACGGCTCCAAGAGGGCCTCAAGAGGCCTCCAAGCCGGCCAAGATGGCCTCCAAGACAGCTAACATGGCCCCAAAATGCCTCCAAGACGGCCCAAGATGCACCCAAGACAGCCTAAGATGGCTTCAAGATGGCCCAAGACGGCCCAAGAGCCCCCAAAGAGGCCTCCAAGACGGCTCAGGCGGCCTCCAAGAGGTTCTCCAGGGAGCCCCAAGAAGTCAGAATCATGGATTTTCTCAAGGTTTTTGAAAGACTTTGGAATCTGCATCTTCTCGGCATTCCGGCGGCTCAAGACGGCCCACGAGGCCCCCAAGATCGCCCGCGAGGCCTCCAAGATGGCTCCATGACGGCCCAAGAGGCCCCCAACACGGCCCCGAGAGGGCCCCAGAGGCCTCCAAGACGGCCACGATGGCCTCCCAGACGGCTAACATGGCCCCAAGACGCCTCCAAGACAGGCCAAGATGCACCCAAGACGGCCTAAGATGGCCTCAAGATGGCCCAAAACGGGCCGAGAGGCCTTCGAGACGGCCCAAGAGGTCCCCAAGAAGTCCTCCAGGAATGCCGAAGATGCCCACAGCAATTATTGTTTCAAATGTTTGAAAGATGTTGGAACTTGCTTCTTCTCGGCATTCCGACGGCTCAAGACGGCCCAAGAGACCCCCCTCCTCCCCTCCTCCTCCCCCCTCCTCCTCCTCCTCCTCCTCCTCCTCCTCCTCCTCCTCCTCCGGATCCTCCCCCTCCTCCTCTTCTTGTTCCCCGACGCGTTCCCCGAAGTTGTTCCAAACCGACTCGGGGAACAACTGGCCCGAAAGTTTGGTCAAGCTCTGGCCCAGCTGTCGGCCACAGAGGCGCTCCCCTCGGCTCGAAGAGGGCCCATTACGGCCGAAGAGGGCTGTAGAGGATTCTTCTCTTCCTCTTTCAGACGTTCCCCGAACGCTTTCGAAACCGATTCGGGGAACACATGGTTCGATAGCTCGGCGAACCTCTTCATCACAGGGGTGCTTGGCGACCTGAATCCTCTGGGTTTTGGTTTTGGCTCTTTCCCAAAAGAACTCCCGAATGGTTTCGGCCCGTCCCGCCGGGCACCCGGACAGGCGCTCAATCCGCAAAGAATCCTCCAAGATGGTTCAAGACGGCGCGAAGATGGCCACGTTGGTCCAAGATGGCCTCTCAGATGGTCCAATATGACCCTCAAGATGCCTCCAAGATAGCCGAAATGACCTCCAAGACGGCTCAAATGGCCCCAGGATGCCTCCAAGACGGCCAAAAGGCCCGCAAGATGCCTCCAAGACGGCCCAGAGGCTTCCAAGAGGCCCTCCAGGAAGGCTCGAAGATGCCCAAATCACTGTTTTCCCTCAAGTTTTTGAAGCACTTTGGCATATGCGCCTTTTCGGCTTTCCGACGGCCCAAGACGGCCCAAGAGGCCCCCAAGTTAGTTTCAAAAGCCCCCAAGAGCCCTCCAAGATGGCCCCGTGACGGCCCAAGAGGCCCCCAAGAAGGTCCCAAGAGGGCCCCAAGACGGCCCAAGAGGCCTCCCAGACGCCCAAAATGGTCTCCAAGACTGCCCTGAGGCGCATCAAGAAGGCCCCAAGTCGGCCCAGAGAGGCTCCCAAGACAGCTCCAGACGGCGTAAGACGGGACAGGAACGCTCTCACACGGCCAAAGAGACCCCCAAGAAGCCCAGAAAGGCCCCCCAGAGGCCCAAGGAGGCCCCCGATATGCTTCCAAGAGGCCTTGAACGGGCCCCCAAGTAGCTCCCAACAGACCGCAAGGGTGCCCCAAGAGACTCCTAACAACCCTCATCCTCCTACTTTTCCGATTCCTCCCCTCCTGTTCCTGTTCATTCTCCCCAAAGCCAAGTGTTCCCCGAAAGCTTTCAAAGTCGACTCGGGGAACTCATGCTCCGAAAGCTTGGCCAAGCTCTAGCCCAAATTTCGGCCACATCGGCGCTTCCAGAAAGGCAAGGGGCGGCGGTGATTCGCCGTCGGCGTCGTCGATAAAAATAGAAAGGAAGAATGAATGATTGTGTATCCAGGGCATTCAGATATGCTTTCACCGTTTCAGTACTACGCATACTCCGTTGCCCGAGCCGCCTGCGCAACGCCGCCTGGCGAATCGCCTCTGACCGGCTGCTTACGCAAATGAATCTCCGCGCAAATGCACTGAGACGATCAATATCGGTGGCGCAGGCCAGTGCACTGTCAAGAGCACCTGTCGCGGTACTATCGCATCTGGGTTCCCACTTGCAGGTCCGGTGCATGGCGACGCCGGGATGCCACGCACCCTTGTGATCGAAAGCACCTGCGCCCATGTCTCGCGAAACAAACGCATGCGCTGTGCTTAGAAAAAAGGAACCCCCATCGGATGCCAGTGCTTTGTCACAATTTTGTTTTGCGCGTTCCCACAAAGGCAAACAATCCGCACAAATTACAGGAAGCCCTCCTTTCCCGAACCGGTTGGCCACAAGGCCTCTCATGGCCTCGTTCGGCATGAACTCTACGAAATTATGAACCTGACTACACTTTTTGGACGCCTCACATTGAAAACATTTTAAGCCGAGGTTTCTATAACTGGCCACTGGAAGAGGCGTGTCCAAAGCAGCCGCGGGGCGCTTCCTTGTAGATTTTTCCCTTGACGCATGAGAACCCCAGTTTCGGCTTGTTTCTTCCACTCGGTATATTGGAGTTCCTCCTAAGAACAAGTGCCCTGGGGCATGAACTTTTGACGACGCCATTCCCTGACAATGGATCTTATATGTTCCATGCTGGTGCCAACCTGAGGAACATGTACGAAGACAGTTTGGTACCCACGACCTTGTAACCACCAACATTCCATGTCCGAGGTTGCATGGGTATTATTGGTTGTTGTCCTATATGACTGTATACCTAAAGAATCAAATGCTGAGGCCGGTCCCTTCACTCGAACCTTTGCATACATGGTGCTGTTAAGGCCCAGTAAAGCGACCGGCGTGCTGACCCCCCCCCCCTTCGCGAAAGGAGGTGCGTCGCGCATTCGTCGCCCGTGCGCCGCCCGTGCGTCGGCCGCCGAAAAGGCCAGCCGCCCTCTCGAACGTGCACGTCGCCCTCGCAAGGGGGATATTTGGCGAGTGCGCCGCCAGCGCGGCGGACACCCACGGGGCGGATCGCACGCGCGTCGCCCTCTCCGCGGCCGCTGGAAAGGCTGGTCGCCTTCGGGAAAAATAAAGTCGCCCACGCTGCAGCCCTCTTGGCGAGAAGAAGGCGGCCGCTGGGCTACCTCGGCAGATCAGCAAATCCCCCTAACATTACAAATTCAACGACGCTGCTGAACGCAGCCCGGCGATAAGCCAGCAGGTCCCCGCAGCCGCCGCCACAGCCGCTGCAAACGCCGCCAGCGCCAAAACTACCGCCGCCACGATCACCACAAACGGATGCGACCGCAACCACATCCACCGCGACGATTACGACCAACACCATTTACCGCCATAAACACCACCACGACCACCACGCTTCTCGCGACCACCACAACGACCGACACCAGCACGATCACCGACGTGACCACCACCAGCCCGCCCACCACCAGCGGCGCGACCGCCGTCAACGCGACCAAGGCGACGAACGCGACCACGACCATGATCACCAACATGACCATTACAGAAGCACCCGCCCACTCCGTCCTCCCACCCACCCCACTCCCCTGCCGGGCCGCCCTTGACGCCGCGCCCGCCTCGCGCCAGTGCCCCTCCCCCCTCCTGTTCTCCTCGTCATCTTCCTCTTCCACCGCCAGCGGCGGGGCCGTTCGCGGAAGGCGGGGGCGCCGCTCGCGGCGACGCGCCGCGGCCGTGGAAGGGGGGCCGAAGGAGAAAAGAAAATGAAGAGGGACACGGGGTGGCAAAGGACAAAAAAAAACAAAGGCGAGAGAGGAGGGGCGAGGGACAGACAGAGGGGGGCCGGTAGAAAGGAGGAGGAGAAGGGGAGGAGAGAGGGAGACGAGGCAGGAGAGAGGACGAAGGAGGAGGAATGACAAAAGAGGAGGGACGACGAGGAAGGAAAAGGGAAATAACAGGGGCAAGCACCGCCCTTCCTGGCGCAATGGAGGACGCAGCCGCCGCCACTTGTGAACAGCGCAAGCACGGCGGGCCGACGGCCGCTGCGCATTGCTGCTCGGCGAAATGCTAGGGGCGGGCAAAGTCGCGACTGCGTCGCGCATGCGTCGCGCGTGCGTCGCGCGTGCGTCGCGCGTGCGTCGCGCGTGCGTCGCGCGTGCGTCGCGCGTGCGTCGCGCGTGCGTCGCGCGCGTCGCGCGTGCGTCGCGCGTGCGTCGCGCGGGTCGATCGTGCGTCGCGCGCTGGCAGGGGTGCGTCGCGCGCGGGTCGGGGTGCGTCGCGCGCGCGTCGCGCGCGCGTCGCGCGTGCGTCGCTCGGCGTCGCTCGGGTCGTTCGCGCGTCGCGCGCAGGTCGCGCGCGAATCGCTCGAAGGGCGCCGTGGGCTCCTGACGGCATGTGAACTGCACGGCCCGCTGGCGAAACAATCAGGGGATGCGCGCGGCAATCGTAGACATGGCGAGACACGCGCGTGAGAACTAGTTAACGCGAGGAGACCAATAGACGACATGGAGATGCAGCGCGCACGGACTAATCCATTTCAAGCGCAAGCCCCGCCAGATTTTGAACATCGGTCCGTCGCTGCAGCAATTTGGCGACGTCTCGCTCGCCGATGCATTGGGGGGGGGGAAAGAGGATGGAAGTGAGGCGAGGGAAGGACGGGCGGAAATGGGAACGGACGGGCGAGGAGGGGGCGCGCGGGGGCGGCGCAGCGGCGGCGGGAGCGATGGAAGTGGATCGAAGGGAGGCGAAGAGAGCGAGGAGGGCGAGAAGAAATTCCAGGAGGGTGGAAGGACAACGGGGGGTGAGTAGGGAGGCGGACAGGACGGCAGCCTGACACAAAAGAACTGCACACAAACTTCGCAAACGTGACAAAACGCGCAGCGCATTGGACGAAGGGAAGAGGAAGGAAGAGGGGGGGGGGCAGGAGGATTGGCGCGAAACGACATGGGGGTGCGGGGCGCGATGCGACGGGGCGAAGTGGCGCCGCGTCGCGCGACGTGACGTCACCCCCACCGTGGCGCGACACGCAAAGCCCCCAATCAACGCGAGGCGTCTTCGTCCTCAGCAACGGTTGGCGCCCCCGACAATGAGCAACACCAGATCCTCTTGCGCCGAATTGGAAACAGAACGCGTTGGTGGACCGTCGAACTAGGAGTGCGCCGCGACAGCCAAAATGGCTGTTGGTGCACCGGCGTCGGAAACCTATATATCGCCAGAGAAATTCCGAAGTCGCGCCATATGTCGCCCACGCACTCTGGGAGGCCGGGATTCGGGACAGAGACGCAAACCAGGGCCGGCGCACGGGCGACGCTCGGGCGACGCACTGAACGAAACTTAAAGGAGGGGGGGTGGTCGCTTCACTGGGCCTTAACACATGGTGCTCGAGTCTATAACGTGAACTTCGCTGATGCGACCTCGAGCCACAACAACTGATGCGATCTCGCGCCGCAACGACAAGACGGCACCACGAACGGCACGAGATGACTACAAGATGGCCCGACGAGCGGTTTGTCAGAGCTTCGAGTGCAACTTCCCGGCGAGGAGTTGGATTGCGGAGTCCCTTTGAGTCGGCTTGGGGCCCGAGGCGGGCCATAAGACAGCCCTAGAAGCCCCCAGGAACGTTCAAAATCGCTCCCAGATGACCCCACCGAATAATCTCTGAGCGTTCCGATTCGAACTCCCCGGCGAAGAGCTGGATTCTGGAGGTCTCCATGGGCCGTTTTGGAGCCCAAGACGGCCTGTGCGGGAGCCCTGGAAGATCCAAAGACGGCAGAGGCGGCACCGCGAACGCTCGAACTCGGCCCAAGAAGACCCCAACAAATAGTCTCTGAGCGCGCCAAATCTAACTCCCCAGCGAAGAGTTGCATTTTGGGGTCCTCCATGAGTCGTCTTGGGGCCCGAGACAACCCGTAAGACAGCCTCACGCAGCTCAAACACGGCCAAGGCCATTCCAGCAACAGCCCAAGATAGCTCCAAAAGTGTTTCCATGGGGCCGAGCGAGTAGTCTCTCAGGGTTCCGATCCCCACTCCCCAGCAGAGTTGGATGTCAGAGTTGTCCACGAACCGCCTTGGAGGGAAAGACGGCCGAAACTGGGGTTCTCACACGTCAAAGGGAAAAACCTACAAGCAAGCGCCCCGCGGCTGCTTTGGACACGCCTCTTCCGGTGGCCAGTTATAGAAACCTCGGTTTAAAGTGTTTTCCATGTAAGGCGTCAAAAAAGTATAGTCAGGTTCATAATTTCGTAGAGTTCATGCCGAACGAGGCCATGAGAGGCCTTGTGGCCAACCGGTTCGGGAAAGGAGGGTTTCCTGCAGTGTGTGCAGATTGCGTGTTATTGTGGGAACGCGCAAAACAAAATTGTGACAAAGCACGGGCATCAAATGGAGGGTCCCTTTTTGCTAAGAACAGCGCAAGCGTTTGTTTCGCGAGACATGGGCGCAGGCGCTTTCGATCACAAGGGTGCGTGGCATCCCGGCGTCGCCATGCACCGGACCTGCAAGTGGGAACCCAGATACGATAGTACCGCGACAGGTGCCCTTGACAGTGCATTGGCCTGCGCCACCGATATTGATCGTCTCAGTGAATTTGCGCGGAGATTCATTTACGTAAGCCGCCGGTCAGAGGCGATTCGCCAGGCGGCGTTGCGCAGGCGGCTCGGACAACGGAGTATGCGTAGTACTGAAACGGTGAAAACATATCTGAATGCCCTGGATACTCAATCATCCACTCTCCCTTTCTATTTTTATCGAAGACGCCTACGGCGAATCACCGCCGCCCCCTGCCTTTCTGGAAGCGCCGATGTGGCCGAAATTTGGGCTACAGCTTGGCCAAGCTATCGGAGCATGACTTCCCCGAGTCGGTTTTGAAAGCTTTCGGGGAACACTGCCCTTGGGGGAGAATGGACAGGAACAGGATGAGAGGAAGCGGAAAAGTAGGAGGATGAGGGTTGTTAGGAGTCTCTTGGGACACCCACGGGGTCTGTTGGGAGCTATTTTGGGGCCTGCGCGAGGCCTCTTGGAAGCATATCGGGGGCCTCCTGGGGCCTCTTGGGGGCCTTTGTGGGCTTCTTGGGGTCTCCTTGGCCGTCTTAGGGCGTTCCTGTCCCGTCTTACGCAATTTGGAGCCGTCTTGGGGTCCCCCATGAATCGTCCTGGGGCCCAAGACAGCCCGTAAGACAGCCTTACACTGCTCAAACACGGCCAAGGCTATTCCAGCAACAGCCCAAGATAGCTCTTCCTCCCCCTCCTCCTCGTCCTCCTCCTCCTCCTCCCCCTCCTCCTCCTGCTTCCCCTGGGTGCCTCCCTGGAGGCCCCCCCCCTGGGAGACACTTCTCCCCTGGAGGTGCTTTCGTGGATGCTGGCCCCGCCCGCCTGCTGCGCACGGCCGAGGCCGGCGGTGGCTGTTC